TTATATTTTTAATATTTATTTTTATAAATGCCTATTATGTGTATATATGTATATATAAAGTCATGTATGTACATAGTCATTGTAAAATAATTGAAACTTTTATATTAGTAGTGAATTGCCGCCTGGGGTTGTGGCTCAATGGTAGAGCGCTTACTTAGCATGTGTGAGGCACTGGATTCTATCCTCAGCACCTCATAAAAATAAATAGAAATAAAGGATTTTTTTTTAAAAAAAGAGTTAACTCAAAAAAATAGTGAATTGCATTAGTGTATGCTTAAGACATGTATGGGCTGTCTGTGTACTTTAAACTTTTAAAACTGTAATTGGAAGATATGAAAAAAAAAAAGAAAATTAAGAGTAAAATTAAACTATGGTTCCACTTAAAATGTAATGCCAAGGGCAGGCACAGTGGCATATACCCGTAATCCCATCAAAGGAGGATCACAAATTCAAAGCCAGTCTCAGCAACCTAGGGACGTCCTAAGCAACTCCATGAGACCCTGTCTCTAAATAAAATACAAAATAGGGCTGGGAATGTGGCTCAGTGGTTGAGTGCCCCTGAGTTCAGTCCCTGGTACTGCTCACCCCACCCCCTGCAAAATGTGATGCCAATACTATGGATTTTAATTATTTAATTTTTATTTTTGTGAGAAGAGGTCTTTCCCTCTCTCTTGTACTTATCACCTCTTCTGCCTGCTTCCCTACATCATTTCACAAATACATTATTTTATATTTTATTTAGATTAATGTGTTAAGGCTGGAAAATACTGTAAACAACGAGAAAAGATGCAAAATAGATTATATCGAAGATAAGAACAATTCCAAAAATAGTCGTCTGCCTCTCTGTGTTTTTGTTCTCCCAGTAACGAAGCTCACTGCCTTTAATTATAGCTTGAGACAGTGTGTTGAAATATTTAATCTCTGAGTAATGACTGGATTTTAGTTTCCTAATTGGCATCTGTGTGTTTAGCATTTCTACCAAAGCCCAAATCTGAGAATGCGCACACAATACAAGACATGAGTTTCTAAGTAAAACATTTCTGATACGTGCCACCTTAGCTCCAGGGCAATAATGTTACAACAAACGAGGGAAGGATAAATATCATATGTTTTATGATTTCACATATTTTTAATGCCTGACCAACAACCTGTCAGGGTTTACAAGTTAAACCACAAATCCATGTGTGATCACAGTACAGTACCTAGTGAAGTATAATTGCAGCCCAAAGAAGCCCTTGGCCTTGGGAAAGTGTCTTGCTCATTCTTGAATGGTATTTCAGGTACCTGGGAGTAGTTCCCAGGAGATAATGCTCCGCCCACATTGGTTGACTTAATTTAAAACTTTGTGAAACCAGCTTGAAGGGACAAAAGGATAGGCTAAGTAGAGAAATGATCAGCTTGAATCCATTCACCAAAATTTATTTGTGTTTTCCTAAATGGAGAATCCAGAGAAGTGTCATTTGGGCATCTTCCCCTGGATTATCATTAGCTTCATATTGTTCGAAACAAAATGCCACTCATGCAACACACCTCTTGGGTGAGTCCATGAAACGCACTGTGGGTGTGGGACCTGCACGTTCACATTCCCGGAATAATGCCTATTTCCCTCAGTAGTGTTTATCCAGCCTAAAGTTACATGTGGGAGAAGGTGGAGCAAGAGGTGGAATCACAGAACCCAGCTGTTCTCCCCATGGAGAAGCCTCGTTTTATTTTCAGTCTAGCTAATATGGGGAAACTGACCCCACCCCCCATACATCTGACAGCAGGAACTCAGGATAGGACGGCCAGCTCTGTTAGAAGCTTTGGGGCTCCATATTTACCCAGATGCCAGAGTATCCAGAGTCCTCTGAAAATGAAAACTGCTCTCTTTCCAAATGTGAGTAACACTGTGTGGGATTACACCTTGAACCTTTCTGCCCTCAAGGTGAAATAATGAATGAGTAAAAGAGGCCACTCCCAAATACCAAGCATCACTGAGGCTTACTTAATAGGATCAAAACAAAGCCAGTTCCTGCCTTGGCCGGGCTCCCCAGTCACCAGATGACCTTGGAAGCCAGGGGGCTATGATGACTGGCCTGGTCACCTGGTCAACTGTTCTGCTGTTCTGCACCTCATATTCATCTTTTCCAGGCACAACCCAGAGTAAGAACTTTTACAGTCACCAAATTCAGATAAAGAGGATCCCATCATATCCCTGGTGCTATTGTCCATCCATATCTCTCCTCAGTATGATCAGTTCTGAGTTTCACTGAAATGAAGCTCATTGGACCCAACTGGGTCTAGTTAGAGAGGTATGGTAATGACATGAGGCTACAAGGCTGTAAGAGCCTACACTTCTGAGGAATTAATAACTTCATTCCTGGCCAAAAATGCTGAGTTGGCAATGTTCTTTGGACCTTTTGTCATCGCAAGGTTTAATTCTCAATCCAGAGAGAACAGATTGGTTGGCATTATCACTTGGAAAGGAGATTACTTCCCATTTTTGGCTCATCCTGTATCTGGAAGCAACCAATCTAAAGTTCATGTAGAGGGGCTGGGGATGTGGCTCAAGCGGTAGCGCGCTCGCCTGGCATGCATGCAGCCCGGGTTCGATCCTCAGCACCACATACCAACAAAGATGTTGTGTCCGCCGAGAACTAAAAAATAAATATTAAAAAAAAATAAAAAAAAAATAAAGTTCATGTAGCCATATCCTCTAAAGCTGAAGGAGAAGAGATGAGGGAGTGTCCTAGAGAGGCCCTTGGCCATTTACACTTTATATTATTCTGGCTGTAATGACTCAGAGGCACTTTGAGCCTCTTAACCCAAAACTTCACTTACTCCCACAACAAGCCTGTGCATGGCTTAAATAACCCTGAAGTAGAATTGAGCACAGCACAGCATATGTCTCCAGGCAGGTGGGCTTGGGAAACCGAGGCCACCACCTGTTCATCCACTGTTTACTTCTTTTCTTCTCTCTCTCTCTCTCTCTCTCTCTCTCTCTCTCTCTTTCTTTCTTTCTTTTTTTTCCCCTCTCAATGCTAGGGACTGAATCCAGGGTCCTTTATTACTGAGCTATCACCTCAGTCCTTTTTTATTTTGAGACAGGGCTGAAACTGGCCTCAAATTTGTGATCCTCCTACCTTAGCCTCCAGAGTCACTGGGACTGCAGGTGTGTGCCACCACATCCAGCTAAATTTCTCTTTTTTAAATCTAAGGTATGAGTTAGATGTTTCTGATCCATTATGTGCTTTGGCTTTGATATTCCCTGGCTCATACTGTGGGCTCCCGTTCTCCTCCAGCACTTGGAGGAACAGTGGGAGAAGAAGGATTAGTTGATTGTTTTTGTTGCTGTTTTCTTCACAAGGATACAAAACAAAACTCCTTTTGGTTCCTTCCTGAATCCATCATCTAAGAACCAATATATCCTTGGCTTGAATGAATCAAGTGGCTTAAGTATAAACTAATGATATCTGTTTTGGGGGACTCTAGGAAGAGAACTCCTACCTTTATAGTAGAAAGATAGTTTTTATTCACTCAATCAACACATGTATACTGAGCGCCTAATACTGTCAAGCATCATGGTGGGCGTTGTCAATTCAATATGAGAAAACACCTGAATTGTGCTCTAGTGGCACTTACAATCAAGTGAAAGAGAGAAACATCAAGCAAATAGTGACAAGTGAGGTTGTATTATATGGGTAAAATATAATTTTATATAATTTTTAAAAATAGGAATATAACCACTGATTTTTTTTAAAAAAAAGCACATATTAGTTAAAAGCAAAAAGAAAAAAAACATAAATGGGGAAAAAAATGCAAGAAAAAATTATAGCATTTATTTATATGGTCCTAGGGATTAAACCCAGGGCCTCCCACATTCTAGGCAAGTGCCCTACCACTGAGTCACACTCCCAATCTACAATGAAATTGTTTTTGTTTTTTTGGGGGAAGGGGTGCCAGAAACTGAACCCAGGGTGCTTTATCACTAAGCTACATCCCCACCCTTTTTATTTTATTTTAAGACACTAAGTTGCCAGAGTCTGGCCTAGAACTTTCTATCCTCCTGCCTCAGTTTCCTGTGTAACCAACACTCCTGGCTTCAACTGGTTTTTAAAAGAGATGATCCCAGGAAGACTAGAAATGAGGAAGTCGAACAAGGAAGGGAAGGAAGCCAAATAAAGAGGAACATTATTGAGTAAATTTCTGCTACGTAACTGCAACTGGGGCTCAGTCCTGCTGGAGACTCTGGAGGACAATGCAAAACATGTCTTGAGTTTTCCTACCCAAGGGGCAAGGAGAAGCCTCTGGTTCCCATCATCATTGGTTGAAGCCTACTCCAGGGACTTTAACTTCTCAGCACATCTATATGTAAAATGGATGATTTTGGGTGCAAGTATTAGAATAGATATTGGAATGTACTGGAATGTACAAGTGGATATGGATCTCACAAGAATTTCTGAACTCTTTGTAAAAGACCAGAATCTAAAATGATCCCCATAGCCAGGCATGGGGGCACGCCTGTAATGCCAGCAGCTTGGGAGGCAGAGGCAGGAGGATCCCATGTTTAAAACCAGCCTCAGCAACAATGAGGCACTAAGCAACTCAGTGATAGTTTGTATCTCTAAGTAAAATACAAAATAGGTCTGGGGACGTGGCTCAGTGGTTGAATGCCCCTGAGTTCAATCCCTGATACCAAAAAATAAAAGAAAGAAAAAACAAATTGGTCCCCATAATCTTTACCCTTTGGTACTCATACATTTGTATGAGTGAGGGTGGGACCTGTAACTGCTTCTCACCAATAGAATGTGGCAGAGATTGACTGGAGATGTGGCCCAGTGGCAGAACATTTGCATGGGCAAGGTCCTGGATTCAATACCCAGCAATGGAAAAAAAAAAAAAAAACAGAAAAAAAAAAAAATCAAAACTATGGCCGAGATGGTGGGATGTCAGTCTATAATTAAGTAACATTATATAAGATTCTGTCTTGCTAAATCTCTTTCTTCTTTCCTGGCTTCAAGGAATCAAGCTGCCATTTTGCCCCAGCACTTATGGAGAAGCCCGGTTGGCAAGGAACTGTGAGCAACCCCTTAGAGCTAAAAGCAGTGCCTAGCCCACAGTCATTGAAAAACTGGATTCCTGGTCTTACAGCATAAAGGAACTCAATTCTGCCAACAATCTGCATCTGGAAGCTCATCTACCACTAGTCGGGTCTCCCCATATGGAATTGAGCCCTGGCCCATATCATGAAGGCACCTTTGCAAGGAGTGAGTCTGCTCATGACCAATCTCCTCACCCACAGGATGTGAGGTAATGAGTGGGTGTTGTTTTAAGCCATCGAGTTTATGGCAATTTGTTGTGCAGCATGGAAGACAAATACACTCATTCCCTTGTCTTGTAAGCCTCCAATCTGAGTAAGGTGGCCTCAGCTCCCCACCTTTCCTTTTTATAACCTTTATTGTACTGATCAGCAATTCTTATGGTTTGAACAAATGTACTGTTCTTTTTTATTACAAAAAGGAGACAGTCCTGTAACTCCAGTGGCTTGGGAGGCTCAGACAGGAGGATCATGAGTTCAAAGCCAGCCTCAGCAATTTAGCAAGGCCGTAAGCAACTCAGTGAGACCCTGTCTCTAAGTAAAATATAAAAATGGTCTGGGGATGTGGCTCAGTGGTTGAGTGCTTCTGGGTTTAATCCTTGGTGCCAAAAAAAAAAAAAAAAAAAAGGAAAACGAGAAGGTCATTATAAATTATATATGAAATAGGTAAAAGCAAGCCAGGTATGGGGGCACACAACTGTAATCTCAGCAGCTCTGGAGGCTGAGGCAGGAGGATCACAAGTTCAAAGCTAGCTTCAGCAACTTAGTGAGACCCTAAGCAACTCAGTGAGACCCTGTCTCTAGATAAAATATATATGTTAAGCAAACAAACAAAAAGTAGTGGGGATGTGGCTCAGTGGATAAGCACCCCTGGGTTCAATCGCTAGTACAATAGATAGATAGATAGATAGATAGATAGATAGATAGATAGATAGATAGATAGATAGATAAAAGTAAAAGAAACTGATGATATTCACCCCATTTTTTCTGGTAAATTCAAACTTTCTTCTGGGCAACTCTCTGTTTGAGCTCTATAATTTTCACTCTGCTACAGAAGAACTTTTACCCAAATATAAGTTTATAATTAGAAAGACTATACTTACATGGATTGCACTTGAACTTTTCCAAAGAGGCAAGCACTGAAAATATTCATATAATTGGGAAGAGGCATTATTCCCAGAGAGGGAAGTTCCCATGGACACAGTAAAGCCATTATCTAATCTTTGCTCAGAGGGATTTTCATTCTACTCCAGGAGGAAAGAAGTGCCAAGTGTTTGAGGAAGTTGGTCCTGAACATCTTTTTAGTAAATAAAAGGCTTCGGAATTTAGCATTTAGGTGCTAAATTTAGCAAAGGAGGCACAGAGAGACAGACTGAGTTCTCCTTGAACTTTTTTTTTTTTAGTTTTCGGTGGACACAACATCTTTATTTTTTTTATTTTTTATTTTTATGTGGTGCTGAGGATCAAACCCAGCGCCCTGCGCATGCCAGGCGAGCGCATTTCTGCTTGAGCCACATCCCCAGCGAGAGAGAGAGAGAGAGAGAGAGAGAGAGAGAGAGAGAATTTTTAATATTTATTTTTCAGTTCTCGGCGGACACAACATCTTTGTTGGTATGTGGTGCTGAGGATCGAACCCGGGCCACACGCATGCCAGGCGAGCGCGCTACCGCTTGAGCCACATCCCCAGGCCCTCTCCTTGAACTTTTAATTTCCTTTCCCTCTTGACCCCTGGGCAGCTGTGAGAGGCGCTCTGAGTCCTCCAGCCAATAGCTCAAGGGATCTTTCTTCCTTCTTCCTTTCCAGCTTTTCCTCTTTCTGTAGCTCATACAGCAGTTTCCATTAGACCACAAAATAGCTGCGGTGAGGCCACCTCTCCCCTTCACTTTCACGTGAAGCTCCTCACTTTCCTACTGCACTGCAGCTCTCCATGGGGAGTCACTAGGTGTGTTCTTTCTTTCTTTTCTTTTCTCTTTTTAATTATGGTACTTGGAATTTAACCCTGGGTCATTCTACCACTCAGGTATATCCTTGATCTTTTTATTTTTTTTTTATTTTGAGACAGGATCTCCCTAAGTTGCTGAGCCTGACCTTCAACTTGCAATCCTCCTGCCTCAGCCTCCTGATTTGTAGGCGTGAGAAGTGTGTACCAACACTCACACACACACACACACACACACACACACACACACACACTGCTTCACTGGGTGCTTGCTTTCTATATGCTCACGCTTTCATTTAACAAACATTCTGACATGGCTGCTGTATGCTGGGCATTGTGGAGGATGCTGACCAAGGGCCACCTGGATCTAGTGGGGGAACCTGGTACATGCGCTGGTAACACACTGTGATCTCTGCATGCTCTACTGGATGCCCAAATGTACCTGGAACCAGGGAGCCAAAGTAAAAAAATTAAAAAAAAAGGACAGGCAGAGCAAGCACAGGAGACAGGAATGAAGGTTGGAGAAAGAAAATTCTTCACAAAGAAAAAGATTCGAGTCAGATACAGTGACACTAGTCTATAATCCCAGCAACTCATGAGGCTGGGGCAGGAGGATCATGAATTAAAAGCCAGCCTCAGCAACTTGGGGAGGCCCTAAGCAACTCAGAGAGACCTTGGCTCTAAATAAAATACGAAAAAGGGCTGGGGATGTGGATTAGTGGTTAAGCACCCCTGGGCTCAATTCCGAAGGAAGGAAGGAAGGAAGGAAGGAAGGAAGGAAGGAAGGAAGGAAGGAAGGAAGGAAGGAAGGAAGGAAGGAAGGAAGGAAGGAAGGAAGGAAGGGGAAAAAAATTATTTTAACTCACAGTTTTGAAGCTTCCAGACCATGACTGGATAGACCTATTGCTTTTCAGTCATGGCAGCACATCATGGTGGAAGCATGTGGCAAAGCAAAGCCACTCATCTTGTGGCCAGGAAGCAAAAGAGAAAAGATGAAAGGTCCACAAGTTCAAAGCCAGCTTCAGCAACTTAATAAGACCCTAAGAAACTCAGTGAGACCTTGTCTCTAGATAAAATATAAATGTTAAGCAAACAAACAAAAAGTAGTGGGGATGTGGCTCAGTAGTGGGGATGTGGGTTCAATCGCCAGTATCCCCTCAAGGAAAGGCATGTCCCCTATGACCAGAATGCTTATAACTAGGCCCGATATCTTAAAGCTTCTATCACCTCCCAAGAGCACTACAGTGAGCTCTTTGTGAGACATTTAATATCCAAACTATAGCACATACTAACATGCAAAAATGTCCAATTATTCTAAGTTTTAAAAAAGTTGTAAAATAATACAAATATGGTTCACATTAGCATAGGTATTTTTAACTTTTTATTTTGAGATGATAGATTTACATGCAATTGAAGAAATTATTAATACAGAATCACAGTGAGGCAATTTCACACCCACTAGAATTAGTGGCTATAATAGAGAAAACAGATAAAAACAAATGTTGGTGAGAACATGGAGACATCAGGACCCTCATCCACTGCTCATGGAAGTGCTAAATTGTGCAGCCCTTTTGCAAAATAGCTTGACAGATAGTGCACACCTGTAATTCCAGCGGCTCCAGAGGCTGAGGTAGGAGAATCTTGAGTTCAAAGCTAGCCTCAGCAATTTAGAAAGGTCCTAAGCAATTTAGCCAGACCCTGTCTCTAAATTAAAAAAATAGAAAGGGCTAGGGATGTTGATCAGAGTTAAGCACCCCTGGCTTCAATCCCCAGTACCAAAAGAAAGAAAAGAAAGAAAGAAAAATAACTTAGCAATTCAAAAAGTTAAGAATATCGCTTGGCAATTTTACTCCAGGTATATACCTAAGAGAATTTAAAACATGGTCACAGAAAAATGTGTACATAAATGTTCATAGCACCATTGTGCATAATAACCAAGACATAGAGACAACCCAAATGTCCATCAACTTATGAATGGATAAACAAAATATGCAGTGATTTCCATGTAATGAGATATCATTTAGTCATAAGTAGCAATGAAGTACTGATAATACTACAACATAGAAAACTGCAACCTTGCAAACCTTTTTGTTGAATGAAAGAAACCAGACAGACACAAAAGGACACATATTGTGTGATTGGGTTTATATGAAATATCTAGAATAGACAAATCCGCAGAGATGAGAGTAGATCAATGGTTACCAAGGGCTGGATGGAAAGTGGAATGGGAGTGAGTGCTGATAGGTGCAGGGTTTCTTCCTGAGATCATAAAAATATTCTACAATTAATGGGTGAGGTTTCTCAGCTCAGCAAATACATTTAAAGCCACTGAGTTGTACATGCTAATAGAGTAAATCTTGGGATATATGAATTATACAGCTCAATAGAACTTACTGAAAAAAGAAAGAATATAGAGAAATCCTGTGTACCTTTCACCAAATACAATGTCACCATCAGGAAATTGACATTGATATAATCCATCAGCCTTATTCAGATTCAGATATCATCAATTTATACACACTCATTTATATATTTATTTAGTTCTACGTGACTTTTATTTATTTATTTATTTATTTGTACCAGGGACTGAATTCAGGGCCTCACCCATGATAGCAAAATGCTATAACACCGAGCTACATTCCCAGTCTTTATTAAATTTTTAAATTTTGAGACAAGGCCTTGGTAAATTACCCAGACTACCTCAAAGTTACAATCCTCCTGCCTCAGCCTTCTGAGTAGCTGGGAATTACAGGCAAGCCCACCATGCCTGGCAGGTCCTATATAATTCAATCACACATGTAGATTCATATGACCGCCACCATGCCAAGGTGCAAAACAGTTCCATCACACACATCCCTTGTGCTACATTTTTATGGCCATGGTCACCCCTTCACTCCCTTCAACCTGACCCCAATCTCTCTCTTTTTTTTTTTTCCTTTTCTATAAATTTATCATTTCAAGAGTAATTTAAGGCTGGGGTTGGGGCTCAATGGTAGAGTGCTTGCCTAGCATGTGTCAGGCACTAGGTTTGATCCTCAACACTGCATTAAATAAATAAATAAATATGGGGCTGGGGATGTGGCTCAAGCGGTAGCACACTCGCCTGGCATGCGTGCGGCCCGGGTTCGATCCTCAGCACCACATATCAACAAAGATGTTGTGTCTGCCGTGAACTAAAAAATAAATATTAAAAATTCAAAAAAAAAAAAGAATAATCTAAATGGAATTACACAGTATATACCATTTTGTGATTGGCCTTTTATTTTTCAGTGTAATTCTCTGGAGATACATCCAGATTGTTGTGTGTATCCACCCATATTTCTTCCTTTTTATTGATGAGTAGTATTCCATGATATAGACATACCATTATTTAGTTAGCCTTTCACCACTGAAGAACATTTGGGTTGTTTCCAGTTTGTGGCAATTATGAATAGAGCTACTATGAATAGTCATGAATCTTTTTGTATGTGTAAGCATATGTTACTATTCCTAGGGGTTTTAGATGTCCAAGAGTGTACTCACTATATTATATGGTAATTTTTCTTTTCTTTTTTTTAATTAAAAATAATTTTTTTTATTTTTTAGTTTTTGGCAGACACAACATCTTTGTTTGTAGGTGGTACTGAGGATCGAACCCGGGCCAGATGCATGCCAGGCGAGCATGCTACTGCTTGAGCCACATCCCTAGCCCATATGGGTAATTTTTCATATTCAATGTTGTAAGAAATAGCCATCCTCTTTTCCAGACTGGCCATATCATTTTACATTCCTACCAGCAATGTACAATCAAATTTCTCTAGATCCTCATGAGCATTTTGTGTTGTCAGTAATTTATAGCCTTTCTATACACAGTGTATAGTTTGTAGTATATTTTCAGGGGTGACTACCAGGGATTAAACTCAGGGGTGCTTTCTACTGAGCTACATCCCTAGCTCTTTTCATTTTTTATGTTGAGACAGGGTCTCACTAAGTTGCTTCGGGGCTTGTGACATGGTTGAGCCTGGCCTCAACCCTATGATCCTCCAACTCAGCCTCCAAAGTCTTTGGAATTACAGGTATGTACCAACATATCTGCTGCTTATACACATATTTTTTAAAAAGTTAGACAAACAGCATGTACCAAAATCTTTTTTTTTTTTTTGGCAGTGCCTGAGGTTGAACCCAGTACTTTGTAAATGTTAGGCAAGTGCTCTATCACTGAGCCAGGCTCCCAGCCCTGTGCACCAAACCCTTGACAGTTGTTATGTTTTTAATTTTACATATTATATATTACTGTGGTGTTCAAATTTTGTATGACTTAATGTTTTGTCTATAATATAAAATGCAATTGGATTCTTAAAGGAGTTAACAGGTAGTAAGAAAGTGAAGACAATCATTAGAAACTGTTCTGCAGAGGAGCTTGTCCTTGCAAGTAAGCTGGTAGGGAGGAGAGAAAAGAGGAAGATAGTGTAAGGGCATTCTCTCCCTCAGCGTGGCAGTATTGAGAGGTGGTGGAACCTTTAAGGGGTGGGGCTTATAGCAAGTAATTAGGTCATTGGAGGTGCTGGCCTCAGAAGGGATTAGGGACTCTAAGTAGTCCCTAAGAGAGTGAGTTGTTATGAGAGAATAAGTCTAGCGAAGCTGTGGTCTGTCCCCATAGTCCCAGCTATTCAGAAGGCTGAGGCAGGAGGATCACATGAGCTCAGGAGTTCATAGCCTGCCTGGGCAACATTGTGAAATTGCCTCAAAAAGAAAGAACAAACATTTATTTTAATATATATTAATATTAATATATAATATATGTATATATCTCAGAAATTTGGATGAGGGTGTAGCTTAGTGGTAGAGCACTTGCCTAACATGTACCAGGCCCTGGGTTCAATCCCCACCACTGCAAAATGAGTGAATGAAATAAATTAAATTAAAAAGAAGAAAGAATGAAAGCCAGCACTGCTGTTCATGCCTATAATCCCAGCAACTCAGAAGACTGAGCCAGGAAGACACAGGTTCAAGGCCAGCCTGGCAACTTAGTGACACCCTGTCTCAAAAAGAAATGGCAGAGAACCCCAGTTCTATCCCTAGTATGGAAAAAAAAGTGTGCCTCTCAAATATCTCTCTGGTGTCCTGTCTTATTATTTCTCCCTCTTGTAGGGGCTCCTGCCATTGTGATACCATCCACCATGTCTTCACCAGAGCCAAGAAGAAGCCAGCATCATGCTCTTGGACTTCTAAAACTATAAGCTAAGTAACCTCTTTTCTTTGTAAAGTACTCAGTCTCAAGTATTTTGTTATAACAAAATTGTTATAACAACAGAAAACAAACTAAGACATGAGACAATCTCCAGGAACAGTCAGGGGTGACTCTGGCCAAGAGCTAATGTGAAAAGAACACCCACCTCTCTGAGACTGGAGGAAGGAAGGGCTGGCCAGATGGAGAAGTCTGCAGGTGGGAGGAGTCGGAAGAATTCACACTTGATTCCCTCTGCTTGGTGACCTAGGAGGCAATGATTTGTGCTAAGCACTAGAACTAGAGAACAATCACTCCTTTTACAACCATGCTTTCAAAAAGAATAGTTTGTCTAAAAAAAAAAAAAAGAATAGTTTGTCTTTTCTAAAGAATAAAGAGTTTTCTCTGCTCTCTTATTGAGGCTGCTGAGTACTTCTGGCTTTTAATATCAAAACTAATAAGAGGTTAAGGATGTTGACTCTGGAGCCAGACTGCCTGGTTGGAATCTCATTATGGCTACTTTGTGACATTGGATGAGAAACTTTGTCTCCATGCCTCAGCTTTCTCATCTGTAAAGTGGGGCTGATAATAATAGGATCTGCTTCATAGGTGTCCTGAGGATTAAAGGAGTACACTCGTGGAAAGCGCCTATGACTGTGCTGGCCCACAATAAGCAGTTATTACTGCAGAGGAGAGAGAGGCAGGAGGTAGGAGGTAACTTGAGCAAGTGGAAGAGCTGGGCAGGAAACAAAAAGGATGTCAGCAAGGATGGGTAACATATTGCTGATAGAAAGGAGAGAGAGATCCCAGGGCCCAGTCGAAGTTGGAGGTGTCTTTGGGTGTTCACTCCGTGGTGTCAGGAATTGCCCTGAGGCTAGATTGAGAGTCAAGAAAAAAACAGAGTTTCAGTCTATGAAGAGGAGAATGTGGACAGGTATAGATGGGTCCAGACATCCTGCTGGTACTGTCTAGGTGCTGGGCAGCCCAGGAACCTGGTGGCTGGGCTGCCCCACAGGTAAGGACAAGATATTACTTCACCTAAGGCCATTTGGGTTACAGGGAAGAGGTGTCCATGGGAACCAACTCAGGTCAAAGAGGTTAGGGTGGTCAGTGGGTGTTACAGGACACAGCAGGCAATCTTGAGTTATGAATTCAAAGAGCAGGAAATGGGGCTCAACAGATGGAGTCTCAGGGGACAGGGTGGGACAGGAAGGGAGGTTCCTCTCTGCTTTATGAGCTTTAGGGTCCTTCAGCTTCACCTCTCCCCACTCATCTCTCTTGACCAGTCTTCTGCTTTTTTTTATGTTGTTGTTGTTTTCCTCTTATTTTTGCAGAGCTGGGGATTGACTCAAAGCCTCCTGCGCACTAAGCAGGTGCTCTACTACTGAGCCACACCCTGGCCCTGCTTCACGTTCTCATCAGGGGCAGCTTTCTGTCCCTCTTATCTGTAAAATGATCACAGCCCTGAGTATTACAACGTTCAAGCAACAGCAGTCAATGCACAGTATACCTGATGGACTGGCAGGTCTCAGAGCCAGATATCCTATTCTGGGCTGATGAGGCCAGATGCCCTACCCTGGGCCCTCAGCCATGGGCAGGGTGTGTATCTTGGCAAATGCATTACAAAATTAGTATTCCCATAAAATAAGTTTGGGTTTCCTCTCATGTTTCATGTAAAAGTAAAAACAGAAACTTGGTGATTTCATTGAGGTTTTTGGTTTTTTGCTTCATCAGAACTTCCTCTGCCCCAAGGGAACTGAATGAAGGGCACAGATGGAAGCCTGTGCTCCCCTCCACTTTCTCTGGATGCTTGCTCTAGTGTCTCCCATTTTTCCCACTTTCAGAGCCTTTTTTTCCAACTTTCTTTCAAAATTATTTCATTTTTTTTTCTGAGTTCTTTCCTGGCTGACTCTTCTTACTTCCCTGGATGTTCCCCCCCCCCATCTTTTCTTCTCCACTCCTAACAGTTTAATGAAAATTCTAACACACAGAAAAGTTAGACTAGTGAGATGGCAGCTGTATACATCTCGATTCAGCAGGCCACCTTTGCCATATTTGCTTTCTCCTCTCTTCCCCCACATCCTCTCCTCCCCCTCCTAGAGATTAAGAAAAATCCATTACATAACTCCAATACCCTTATCATTCCTAATAAAATTGACAACAACTCTATGTTGTCTTAGACTGTTTTGTACAACAATAACTGAGTATTCCAGACCTAATAATTCATAAAGAACAGAACCTTGTGCTGGGAGTGTAGCTTCAGTTGTAGAGTACTTGCCTAGCATGCACGAGGCCCTGGGTTCCATCCCCAGCACTGCACATATACAACAAATGAACAAAAACCCTGAGCTTTATTTCTCACAGTTCTGGGGGTACAGATGCAGCAAATGCTGGGTCCTCGATAAATGGTAGAGTGGCAGAACATATTCTCTGTGAAGTCTCTTTAATAAAGCCTTTAATCCCATTAACAAGGAAGGAGCCCATATGACTGAATCATCTCTTAAAGGGCTCACTGTCATGTTGGCAAAACCTGGACTCTGAAGGGAACACAGTCAAACCGTATCCCATGACTCTTACATCTTTCATATTCAGATTTCCCCAGTTGTCTGTCCTAGCTGTTTGATTCCTAACTCTTCTCATTTCCAAACTGTATTCTGATTCTTGAATCTCAGCTGCCCTCTTCTTCACAGGGAACATTCTCTTGGCAGGATCCAAGAAGTGTTAAATTAACCTCAAGAAAAACCCACAGGATTCTGTAATCCACAGGGATATTCATATCTCCCCATGTTCTGCTTGGGGAAAAGAAAAATCAGTCCATTTCTTTGGGGCTCCAATCACATCTGTGTTCTTCATCACCCTCTGTAGAGTCCCTGGTTTGCATTTGGTTCACAAGCAACATCTCAGGGAGGGGCCACACCCCATCTCATTATCTCAGGAATGGAAGTTAAGGTTTGGGCTATTTCTTTGAAAGGCTGACCCCAATGATTTTTCCTAATTTCATTTTCAAAGAGTAGCTTTTGCTTCACTTAGGTTTCAGTGCTTTCTAAAACCTTTTCAGAATGCTAAGAGAAGCAGTAACAGGATAAAGCAATTCTGGGTGGATTTTTTTCTTTTCTTAATCTAAATAATCATTTTCCAATGTTTTGTTAGGTGGGAATATTTTATAATTTTTTTCTTTTTCTTTCTTTCTTTTTTTTTTTTTTTTTGGTGCTGGGGACTGAACCCAGGGATTCACACAATGCTAGGCAAGTGCTCTACCACTGAGTTACATCCCCAGCACTTTTTTTATTTTTGAGACAAAGTCTCTCCAACTTGCCCAGGCTGGCCTCAAGATCCTCTTGCCTCAGTCTCCTGACAAGTAGCTGGCATGCACCACTGAACCCAGATAAAATTTTTAATTTAAAAAAATTCAGGAGTGAGTTAGATCTGCCAAGTTTTGAATATTCACTTCTGGAAGAGCTAAGCCTTTTTTTCCACCTAATTTCTTGATACTCAACTCCTCCAGCTTTTGCACATTTAGGCGAGAAACAGGACAGCAGCACTATGTGAACTCTAGCTCTGCCTTAACACAGGGCAGGTGCCAAGCACAGTGGTGCATGCCTGTAATCCCAGTGGCTTGGGAGTCCTAGGCAAGAGGATCATGAGTTCAAAGCCAGCCTCAGCAACTCAGCAAGGTACTGAGCAACTCAGTGACCCTGTCTTTAGATAAAAGATTTAAAAGGGCTGGGATGTAGCTCAGTGGTTAAGTGTCCCTAGCTAGGTTCAATCCCTAGTATCAAAACAAAAAAAAACAAGATGGGTTTCTGGGAACTATACTCCAGGGATAGTCACTTCACCTAGCTGTTGCATTCTGGGCTGGGCTGAGTTTTGAAACTGAGTGACCCCAGCAGCCCACAGGTGCATGTAATTTCTTATGCATTTTCATGGAGAAAGTTTGGAGTTCTCTATAGAGAGAAAAAAGAAATAAGAATGGATTTCTCAGGCCTAAACCTATTCCTTCCTCCTCCTTAATCCATTTGCCCAGGATGGGGAGTGAGAGGGGGAGGAAAAAAGAGGAGCCGGGGCACCAAGAAGGAGAGAAATGGAATTAACAAAGAAGCACCTGAGAGGTCAACCCCTTGCCTTTCTCCTCCTAGGCTGGAGAAGATTCTTCCTTGGTACTCTCCAGAAATCCTCTCAAAGCAAGAGCACGAAGGCTACCCAGCCCCTTCTGCCCCCTCCACCAACATAGGGCCTGTGTTTGTGAGTGAAGAGTTAGCATGTTCTCCTGTCAGTCTGGTAGAGAAAGAAGCAATTAGCAGGGCCTACTGACCCTGAGAATTTTGTTTTTAAGTTCAGCTTGTAGGGATTTGTTCAGACAGACTCTTGGCAAACATCAAATCCCAGGCATCAAAGAAATTTGCTCAACAAATTCCTAGGAAACCTCCTGGGCAGGTGGCCGTGAACACTTTTCTATTAGCAGAACCACCCAAAGGGGACCAAACTCCAGAGGTAGATCCATCTGGGAAGGAAAAGCAATAGTTCTACTGTTCCTTCATTCAGGGCAAAATTGCCTAGCATGAGACATTTGTTCTCAGTGTCTTCTCTTTTCCACTTTGAACTTCCCTGTAAGTTTACTAAACTGAGCTAAACTCAGCTCACCAGGAGGGAGAAGGCCCACTCTGGCTAAGCAATTCCTCTGTCCCTCCCCTGAGGAGCATGTGGTCCCATCTCCCTCTGGTCACCAGCACACAGATCACACCTCCAGCCCCCACTGGAATACAGTGCCCAAGAGCCTTGGATTGTTTTTATGTGTGAGCCTGATCTAGCTTTTAAACTGGGGTTGGAGGAGGGATATATTTTTTGTACTCTTTAATTCCAGCTCACAATAAATTATGCCTATTTTAATTAATCATTTAATAAATGAACAAACGAATGAATGAGCCTTCAGGATATTTAAACTTTTTATCAAACAATTTGGAGTATATGTAATGGGAGAGGAAGAGAGAAGGGCCAAAAAACCATAAGAGTCTGGTTGATTCTCCCCTGCATCTTCCTGGACATGTCTCAGATGCAGGATCCTAGAGGAAGGCCCTTCTCCAGGGACAGGCTGCAAAGGCCCCAGGAGAAGGGGAAAGTGGGAGGTGTGAAGGAGAAGCTTCTAAATCCTGAGTGAGACCTTGTGATGCTCTTGGGTACCAGTATTTATGTTAGTTGGGACTAGTGGGACTTGCCTTTGGATAAGATGATGGCACTACCAACATGGAAGTTTCCTGGGCAGGATAATTGCTGAGAAAACTCACAGTTATGGCACACTGGGAGGCCTTGGGTCGCTGCCAACATAGTGTCTGGAGGTTTCCCTCCAGTATACCAGGTCATGTAAGTCACTTTTGACAAATTCGGGCTAATAGTTCATCACTGCTATATCATCTATGTATATGTATGTGTCCTGGATTTGGGGGATAATTCCCATTTCAAACCTTTGTCCTACTACCAATTATTATCCTATTTTGATTTTTTTAAATTTATTTTTGTCCCCCTGCTCCCCACCCCCCAGCCCCAAGGCACTTTGCCACTGAGCTACTTCCACAGTCCTTTTTATTTATTTTCAGACAGGATCTTGCTAAGTTGCTGAGGTTTACCTTAAACTTGGCGATCCTCTTGCTTCAGCCTCCTGAGTTGCTGAGATTATAGGTTTTTGTTCCACCACTCCTGGTCCTGGTGTCTTTAGTTTTGAAAACTCTCCTTATAATGTCTTGTGGTTCTCTATAGAGGAGGGGGGATCAAGGGGAGGGAAGTGGGGAGGGTAAGGGAAATTATTAGGGAGTAAATTGATCAGATTGTTATGTGCATATCCAAATATGCCACAATGAAACTATTCTGTGTAATTAACAAACACTAATTAAAAATCACAATAGGAAAAGATGTCCTATGGTTATAATTGCACTAATAAGAGTTTTTTTTTAATTAAAAATATTTCCAGAGCTGACAATATAACTCAGTGGTAAAGTTTAGCATGCATGAAACCCCAGGTTTAATTCTCAGCACTGCAAAATTAAAAATTAAGTAAATAATAAAAAGAAAAGAAAAACATTTATACAGTAAAATTAATGTTATCATATTATTAAAATTTTGGAAAATTAGAAAAAAAAACACATTGCCTGCCATCTTGACACATGGTATACAAAGGTGTGTCATTTTCTCAGCAGCAAATCACCAAAGTAAATATACAATTTCATGTCTTACTTTCTTCAACCAACATTATATTTTTTAAAACATTTCTAGTTATCATTTTTAAAGGCAGTATTTTAATGGGAGGATAATGTTCACCCAGAAGATTACAAAAATATGTTAATCACTTTTCTATTTATTCATAGCGTTTCACAATAATAAATCTTCAAGGACTGGGGCTATAGATAGAGTGATAGAGATCTTGCCTGATGTTTGAGGCTCTGGGTTCCATCTCCAACACCACTAAAAATTTTTTAATCTTTAAAAAAAATATATGTAATAAATATCACCGTGTACCCAGTGATACATATTTTAAATTTTTCTTTAGTTTAGAGTCTAGAAGTTGAATTATAGGCTCAGGTTATGAATATGCTTATGACTCTTGATGGAGATCACAAATTGCTTTCCAAAAAAGTTGTACTTATTTACACAGCCAACAACAACATCTGGGGCCTCTGTGACAGGTCATCACCTGTATTGAGATGGGGTTTTGAAATGATTCTCAGGCTATTTTCGCTCAACAATGTCCTCTCCTTTAGTAGCCAATGTATAGGTACAAAATAATAAACAGATACACTACTAAAGATGATAACCCAAAGAGGGATGTTATTTAAATTACATGAGTACTTAAAAAGAAAAAAAAAAACATAAATGATGCAGCAGGCCCCAATTTCCAATGATGGGAGGCAAATGTACTGGCATACAGTAACCACAGCTGGGGTAGCTTCTTCAGCAGGAAGTGCTTTGGCAGATTGAGTATCAGGCCAAAGGCTTTATATCCACAGGCACATGGCTTTATACAAAGGGTTTGCTTTCTGTGCAAACGCCATGAAAAGCACTGTTGCCCACATTGGTTTGGTCAACTTCACTTACAGATGCAATACGTGAGAGCAATTATTATTTCCTAATAAAACAATGGCTAGACACATTGACTAAGGGAAGGGAGGAAACCACATTTGTAGGCAATTGACAAATAGCCAGTCCCTTTCACATTGGTTTTGTCCCCTTAAAAAAGCCTATATCTAAGCCAGGTGTGGTGGCTCACACTTGTAATCCCAGATACTGAGGCAGGAGGATCCAAGTTCTAGGACAGTCGAGGTAATTTATTGAGATCCTGTTTCAAAATAAAAGTACTTTATTTGTTTATTTATTTATTTATTTGTAGAACTGGGAATAGAATCCAGTGCCTCCTGCATGCTAAGAGAGTACTCTACCACTGAGCTATATCTCCAGCAAAATAAATAAATAAAACCACAAAGGGCTGGGGATATAGCTCAGTGCTTACCTAGTATGTGCAAGGCCATGGGTTCAATCCCCAGTGCTAGATGGGGGAGTAGCAGGGAGCCTGGATTCAGTGTGCTGGCTTTTCCGCCTCATTTGGCAGTTCCAAACTACATTCCAGGGGAGCAGCAATGAGAGAGCTCCAGGGCCCTGTGGCTGGGACTCCCCAGCTTCTAGGTCTCAGCCTGGCCACTACATCTCTTGGGGGGCTATGGAATAGCAGTGCCTACACCTCAAGGAATTAGAGATGATAGAAAAGCATTTACAAAGTGCCACTGCTATCCTTACTGCTGATCCATGGCAAATGTATTGTTACTCACCCTTGTTACTGGAGGCCTGTTGTGTCTAGGGCCATTACTAGAGTATGCACCTGCTCTATCACTGAGCTACACATGCAATCCAACTGCAGTTTTTAATACTATGCATTATGATTTACATTTTTTATACACACACATACGTATTTCTGGATTGTAGCAATATATTGTGAAGTTCCTAGTACAGTTATATGACAGGCTAGAAAAACAGGCCAATTCTTTGTTTTTGGTCTGTTGTTTCTGTTTGTTTTTGGCACTGGAGATCAAAGCCAGGGGCAATTTACTACTAAGCTACATACCCAGTCCTTTTGTATTTTTGAGACAAGGTCTTGCTAAGTTGCTGGGCATCTTGCTAAATTGCAAGGCTGGCCTTAAACTTGTGATCCTCCTGTCTCAGGCTATGGCATCATTGGGATTAGAGGTATGAGCCATGTCGCCCAGCTTGGCCAATTCTTGATAGATAAAAACATTGTCCAATGTGACCATTTTTAAGTTTTAAAGGCAAATTTCTGATAATTGTCCATGATCCATCTTAATCAAATAAGCTTGGGAATCAGTGGGCAGCAGAGCATGGGGAATAGCATTTCAGCTCTGCCACTTTCTAGCCTGTGTCAGTTGCCAGACCTCCCTCAGTGTGTTTTCTCTTCTATTAATGGGGCAAAACAAGATATTATTACTTGAAAAAAAATGTACCTAAACATTCTGCACAGTGCCTGGCACCCCATAAATTCTAAATATTAGCTCTCTATTATCTTATTTTTATTATTAGAGAGTCCACTTGACAGGTGATAAAAGTACAAGATAAACAGGGTTGTTCAAATCCCTTGGAATTGACAGAATAAATTCATTAGGCCATCTCTGCTGAAAAGTTAATTAGTTAGATTAATTAGGGAGACAAAATTCACTGTCTTTTTCTTTCTTTCTTTCTTTCTTTTTTTTTTTTCAGTGCTGGGGATGGAATCCAGAACCTCGTGAATATACCGCCAGCCTTGGACTATGTCTTTAAGTGTAAAAAAATATGCATTACTGCAGACTCAAGTGTTTTTTTGTTTTGTTTTGTTTTGTTTTTCACTTTCAGTCTTATCCCCTCTCAAATACACCACCTAACTTACTGTCAACATTATGTTAATATAAGAAAATGCAATTATCTTTCTTTTTTTGATGTCAACTTTTTTTATTAATATTCATGTATAAATACAATTATCCAATATTAATAATAAATAATTAAATAATAATGCAATCATATTTTTTACCTCCTTAAAACGTCTTACTCTCCCCCAGGGACCAAGTGCTTTATTCTGACAGACAAGGCCATCTAGGACCAAGTCGATGTTGTTCTCCAATCTTTTCTCCAGAGATTTCCTTTCAAAATGATGATAAGATAGCGTTTGCCTTTGCACTGTTCTCAGGCCATTTTCTTCTGTAGGCAGCTCCTCTTTGCTTGATCCAATCCTATCCATTCTTCAAGGTCCACATAAATTCTTATTTTTGTAAAAACACCAAAAGAAAAATTTGTATTATCACATTTATGCATGTTGATGTATAAATATCATATTCAGAAAGAGGTCAAAATAACTGAAAATACATACCCCAAAGTATTAGAAGTAGTTAACTGTAATTTTTTCTTCTTTGTAATAAGAAAAAACATTAAAATATATTTTTTTTTAAAAATCAAAAAATATATAAGGAACAAAAAGCTAACATGGCATCTCTATTCCAAGTTCCTACTAATTGCCAATCAGTAGCCAGAACTACATCTGAGAAGCTTGGTGAGACTGTGAATTCAACTGTTCTTGTAATACATCAGCTCACAGAACTGATTTTTAAAAGTTGGAAATAAAATTAAAATGTAATAAATTATATAGTACAAAAAAATGTAAAGAAATCTTCGGTATCAACCCTTTCCAAACACTTTCAGGTTTCCCAAGTGTTCCCACAGAATTCCTCAAATGTCTCAGACGGAGCATGCATCCCCTAATGTTGAGATTACCAACAATATGCAAGGGCTGTCTTCACATTTGTGGCAAGTGTTTAACAGACAGCTAATAGGCACTCAATAGATGTCTGTGATCTGAATTGAGCTTGCCCTCACTTCTGAACAGCTGGAAGATCTTGTAAAGACCCTTGGGCAGGGCCTGGCACACGATGGCAAAAGCTGAACTCCAGAACAGGGTCATTTATCCCAGTCACTTGTCAACAGCCATGGGTGCTTTTTCCCAGTTTTTGCACTTTAATTTTTTTTTTCTGAGTATATAAGTAATATTGGCTAGGCACAGCGGGACACACCTATAATCCCAACAACTTGGGAAGCTGAGGCAGGAGAATCCCAAGTTTGAGGTCAGCCTCCATAATTTTGCAAAGCCGTTTTTTTTTTTTTTTTTTTTTTTTTTTTTTTTTTTAGTTTTTTAGTTTTCTGCGGACACAACATCTTTGGTTTTTTTTGTATGTGGTGCCGAGGATTGAA